CCTTTCTTACTAAGAATGCGTTGTTTACATCATACCGTTTTCAGTCAATTCAGGAAAAGGTTCTGCAATTGTTTGAGGTCGAATGCTTGAAAAACGCTTTCTGGCATGGAGCTTTGGTTTCTTAACACGTTGACGACAGCGTGACGCGGTAACGCGTCCCACTTTGCGCACCTCGTGGGACATTGTGACGCGGTAACGCGTCCCACCCAAGTCATCCCTTTTTCTTGCGCTTGTGCGACTTATTCCTAAGGTCTTTGTACTCATTCTATAGGCCATACATTAGCATACTTAAAAACCACATGGCTCACAGAAAGGCCAAATATTCTTTAGTTTGGCAGAGGTTTTCCAGACCTTACGGATATGTCTGTTCAGTTCATTCCTCGTTTTCTTTTCATTAACGTAACATGTTGATAAAAAGGAATAACAGAAGCGAATACAAACCTATTCGTATGGGAAGATATGTGTTTTTACTGAAACAACCACGTCCAAATTAATTTTGGAACCACTAAAGGGAAAGTAAGTAAAATTTGCCTTTTCATGGCCTTAACACGTCATTTCGGTCGAACTTCCATTACTGTAACTCCCGATAAGTTAGACAGATCGAACATTATTGAAAACACTTCATCGCATCTAAGTATTGCGTATTTACAGCTCAAAATCCATGGATTTGGTGTGCGGCGGCGGCGCTCGCAAAATCGCTCTGGTCCCACGCGGTGCAAAAACACAAAACGCGCGATGTCGTCAACGTGTTAAAAAAAACTTCACATTCCTACTGTGCTCCTGCAAAAAATCCTCTGCTGCAGCTTCCTAGCATATTCGAAACATTAATCCCATTCATTCGACGTCATGCACCGTTCATCAGCCGATGAGACACTTCACCAGTTTGTGTTACAATTAGAGCTTCCGATGGGGACGCATATAGTTTCACTTTCGTAATTTCCAAACTACTCACTAAATGAGCTCGCTCATTCGCATCTTCTTCAGCTCGTTGCCGCTCTGTATCGACAGGATGTTCCGCTTCTTGTTTCTTCCAATTTTCGTCGATGCGCCGCTGCCTTTCCTCCTTAAAAACCAGTTCAAACTCATGTGGAAAAGGGAGCATTAGCGCCAATGTTTTCGTTGGTTTTAGCTGTTTCAACTGTGAAAAAAAAACTCGAAGAAATATTCTTCATCTTTGTTATTTGCAACGATATTACTGTTCTATACCACTCGAAATTCGACTAGAACACCTGTTCTGTCCTCTCACAACAACCTTAGCTGTGGACTGTATCAATTGTGATCTGAGCAATAATGTTACACGAGAATCTAGGCACACTAGCCGTTGTCTGACAAAACGCTTCCGATGCGACAAGATCACAATACTAATACCAATGTGAATATTAAGCAGGCGAGAGTGCCTTAGCTCCAGTCAGCGTGGAGCCTCAAAGTTAATTTTACACATACAGTCGAAAAAAAGATTAGCATTTTTTTCATATCTTTGCATACAACACCCGATTTCACACTCAGAACGGAAATTTTGGAGCAATTTGAAAGTCTTGAACGGACAGCTACTCCTTCTCTACCTTCCAGTTCTGACATCGTTAATTTAATTACCCAAGTTTGACAGACAAGTTGATCACATCATAGGCTCTGTTGGATTTTATAAATGTGGACATTTCCTACTACTTTGACGCAAATGATATCTACAATCTCTTGAAAAATTGGCCCTGTTCCTCTTCCATTACGCCAGATCAAGTTCCTTTCGAATTCGTCAAGAATATTGCTCATGCTATTGCCTTCCCCTTATCGTACCTTTTCAATCAGTCCATTATGTTCTCGCAAGTCCCTAGCTTGTGGAAACACTCGTACATCACTCCTATCTTGAAAACTATGCCCTCGTCCGATATTTCCAATTACAGACCCATCAGCATCACATCCATTTTTTGCAGGCTGTTTGAGAAGTTGCTAAAAAGCATATTCTTCTTCAACATCTTGCCTATAGAACTGCACGATTTCCTGCTGCACAACATTGGTTTCAGTATCGGGGAAGATCGGTAATTACAAATATGCTTGAGTCTCTCAATGACTGGACTGAGGCTTTAGATAATAAGAAAAGCGTGGATGTGGTTTATTTTGACTTTACCAAAGCTTTTGACAAAGTGAGCCATCAAAAGTTACTGTACAAAATTTATAAGCTCGGATTCCATGAGAAAGTATATAAGTGGATCGAGGAATATCTCTGCCAACGCACCTATCAAGTTCGTATAAATAATTCCTATTCAAAAGTATTCTATTCTACCAGCGGAGTGCCTCAAGGAGGGG